TAAGCGATTTTGGATACTAAATGGTCGCAATGCAGTTCGATTTGCTACTCATCGTTGTGTCGTTTGTTATCGTCACAAACCACAAGTTATAGAGCAGCTTATGAGAAATTTACCAGCGCAACGCATTCGTCGGGCTAGACCATTTTCCTCAACGGGCGTTGATTATGCAGGGCCTATCAACGTTTTACCATCTAAAGGTCGAGGGCGCGTTTCCGTAAAAGGGTACATAGCGTTACTTATTTGCCTTGTAACTAAGGCTGTACACCTGGAGCCAGTGGGTGATTTGACAGCGGCATCATTTATCGGTGCTTTAAAACGCTTCGTTGGCAGGAAAGGTCTATGCCGCGATATATATAGTGATTGCGGTTCCAATTTTGTTGGTGCAAGTCAAAGGATGCAAGCAGATGACTAAGCATACCACAGTTACATCAACAAAGAAGTTGCTCCGTTTCTCAGTGGGCAAAACATCCAATGGCCCTTTATACCACCGTCGTCACCCACTTTGGAGGGTTGTGGGAGGCGGGGGTTAAATAATTGAAGCATCATCTCAAGCGCTCTCTCGGTGAAAGAAGGTTAACGTTCGAGGAACTTAGTACGGTTTTGGCACAGATTGAAGCGTGCCTTAATTCTAGACCATTGTGTCCGCTTACCAACGACCCGGATGACTTGATGGTCTTAACCCCAGGGCATTTCTTAACAGGCGACGCCTTACTAGCCCCATTAACCCCAGAAATTGATAATCTCAGTCTTACTGATAGATGGAAGAATTGTAAATTTTTAGTGTAGCAGTTTTTGCGACAATGGAGAAAGGAATATTTAACCCGTCTACAGAAGCGTCCGAAATGGTTGCAAACAAAACCTAACGTGCAAATTAATGACATAGTTTTGATCAAGGATGAAAGGTACCGTGCAATCTATGGCCACTTGGACGCATTATCAAAACACACCCTGGCGCACATGGATTGGTACGTGTTGTTGATCTGCGAATAAATAATGGAATCATTAGACGTCCTGTTGCAAAAATATGTTTACTCAACTCTCAACTCAACAACTGGCATGATATAAGTACATCCCAAACACTCTAATGTCATTTGTATATTTCACTTTTACCGTAGCTACTACTCGTTCAATGAAGAGGATGCCTGATGACATTATCCAGCCATACAATGTCATCCGCGGGCAGGGTGTTGAATCTAGCAAATAAAAAACCTGCGGTTCAAAGCAACCCTACCTTGTATTATGACTCAACTGAATAAAATGCAAAGGTAGAGCGTAAAACGGGACACAAGAAAAGCGCGCAATAAAGGGGAAAGAAACAGAGAAGTTAAACTGGAGCGGTTCACCGAAGAAGGCGACATAATTACTCAACGCATTTTTTACTTAATATGTATAATAGTTTATATCACCCAAATTTTGTAAACCTTAAATTGAATTAAAGGCAGAGTCATTTTTAATTTTAAAAGCTGTGGAGTCAACAGCTGTGGTGTTCATGGTGGTCGGCTACCATCCAAAATATTAATATGCACTCTGCATGGGTTTTTACAATGGCGAGTCCAAAAATTCACTTTGCTGCACACCTTCCTTTTGGTCTACATGAAATTGCAAACTCTGTTAATACATCCATTTTTTCATGTGCTGAAATTATTGCTACGTGTTCCTAATTAATCAATCTTTGGATATTTATTGATTCCTGCAAAATTGGGCCATGTAATATTAAAATTAACATATTTTTCTGCATTGTTTACATATTTTTATATGCGTTTTGGCATTTCTCTCTCGCAATTGCACCAAGATGACGTCACGCAAAAATTACGCTCAAAAATCCTCTCTCACTGGCGCAATCTTGTATTCTATCACTCTTGCTTCATATGCATATACAAATAAACATATTGCACAAAAGCTCAAGAATGATAGAATACAAGATTGCGCCGATCAGAGAGGATTTTTGAGAATAACTTTTGTGTGACGTCACACTGGTGCAATTGCGAGAGAGAAATGCCAAAATGTGAGCAAGAATGGAAGAAGAAGAACAAATGTTGCAAGGAAAACGTAAACAAGTTGCACCAGTGTGACGTCATGCAAACAACGATTCTGTCAAATTCGTTGATAGAGGAATAGCGGTCCGAGATCGGCGCAACCTTTGTATTCTCTCAATCGTGACAAAAGCTTATACTTCTCTTTCACAGTAAGGCAACACTTTCTCCAAGTAAATTTGCAAAGAAGCAAAACTTTGCCACTGCTAAGGGAGCGGAGCGAGAGAGACAACTGTCAGTTTATCGAACCTTGTATTATTGAGTCATGCGATTATCCTTGTTTAGTTGACGGATTTAGCAAAATCCTTTCGGTTCGTATCGCTGGATTGGTAAATAAACGCTCAAGACAAACAACAAAAAATTTACAATCCTCGCTAATGCAATAACAACACTTCACAATACTTGTTAAAGCAATTACAACGCTTTATAAAACTTGCTAACACAATTTATCTCTGTTTCACAACTTGCTTGTGGCTTGCTGATTCGCAACTGACTGAGCTTGCTGTAGCAGAGGCCTTATATACCTGCGCTCGTACTCATGGCAACTCTAGAAGGTTCTGCCGTATATCGCACATTCTCTCAATTTCTCGCCGTTCTTAGTATTCATCCACTTGACGTTTCTTGCTGTCGAATATTCTACGTCATCCCTCGAACATTCTGCCATTTTCTTTTTGTTCGCTTGGCGTTGCCGCAGTATTCGCCACAATATATGTATATTTAACACTGTCTAAATGTCACTCATTCGCCCTGGCGTCCGCTGCAGTTTGCATTAAACTACTACAGACCAGGGATGTTGCGCATATTTGCATTCGCATTCGTTATGCGAATGATTCGCATCATTTTACGCGTTCGCATTCGCATCAAATGATACGAATGTTTTGGGAATGCGAATGTGTACATGGGCAGAGAGTCCACTCTAATATTGTTGAAATGGCTCTAAGTCTGTCTAACCAGGGTGCGGACAATAACCGTCCTTTAGCTTCAGGCGGTATACGGTTAAGTAGTATATCAAGCAATATTCAACAAGTACTGCTAAAGGTCTTATAAGCAACCTAGAAATAATTTTAGATTCCTCCAGCGAAAACGAAGGCTCGGATGTAGAAATGGAGACATTAAAAAATGTGAAATTAAAGCTCAAGTAAAAATTAAAGCTCAAAGAAAAACGAGCTCATCTCTGTGAAAATCCTCTCGATTGCTGGAAAACTAAACTAAAATACGACAAATTGAAAGATCTGGCCCGCAAATATTTTAACGCTCCACGCGTTTGCGTCCCAAGTGAATGGCTGCCAACTTGATTCAAACCGTGCCAGTTTTGGTCCTTTTTTTTGTCATTTATTGAACAAGTTCAAATGGAACATAATTTTTCAATTCGGCACAAAGTGCCACAATGGCACTTTTGTAACAAAAATAACATTTCAATACATTTTTGTGAAATCCTTTGCTTCTTTTTCTCTTCTTAATTAAAATTTACTAATTTATAAAGGCTATTCAACTGGTTTACCTTATTTTATCATTGTACTTTTGTTTTGAAAATGTGGTTCTTATTTTATTGCTAAAATGGGAATGCATAAAAAGAATGTCGCCTTCTTTGGCACTTTTATTTCTCATAGCTAAGGATAGTTGGCAGCCCTGTCCAAGTGAGCAATTGTTGAGCCGGCCTTATATACGAGCCTTTAAGAAATCGCCTCATGGAAGAAAAAACAGAATTTTTTATTTTTTTAATATGATATGCTCATTTTGGACTTTGACTATTAGATTAAACCACTGTATAGGTTAAGCCTTCGTTCAATCTTCTAATAATTTACAAAATTTTTAAGAAACAAAAGCGATGGCTTAAGATGATTATAGCTTTTTAATGTTGCTCCTAACATTGGCATTCGCATTCCAAAAATTCGCATTCGCATTTGCATTCGCGAATGTGAAAAATATTACATTCGAAATATCCCTACTATAGACTTTATTGACCGCCTCGCTTGAAATACACGAGAATGTATGGAGGTTCGAACCCTATACCAACTTAATTGCGGACGAATAAATAGTTGCATGTGCCAACCAATCGCGGTCGAACTAAAAAGTCTGCCGACTACACTGGATC